TGCCGTGTGCTGAGAACTCTTTCTCTAGCCTACTTACTCCTCTGTTCCTCCTGTTATCGCTCTAAACATTCAGGGTTGTTTCTAATTAGACTCAAACTTTAATCGATCATCTATATTCATATTAGAATTTGGAGTGTGTGTCAACGTTGAGCTCAAAATTTAATTCTTCTAAAATTATTTAAATAATCGTTTATCAACCGTTCCTATTTGCCAGAAACACGCGTGCTCACCAACTCATACGCACGCGCGTAAGTGCGCAACAAAGACTAACATAGACATACAAATAAAATAGAAGAAAATAACGGCGTCTTGATTGATATTGGGTAACAAACACACCAAAATTCAAAATAAAACGCTTATGCAGTTCGGTGGTAACAATCGAGCCTCCTTTAAAATTCAAAGATTTGACCCAATGCTACCATTGTCAAGGTTTTGGCATACCCAAAAATATTACCGTCTTGAACATGCGTCAAGTTGCGGCGATAAACACAGCTCAGCAGACTGCACTAAAAGTTAAGAGGAACCAGCATACTGCATACACTGTGGAGGCGACCATGCTGCTTCATATAAAGGCTGCGCCGTTTATAAAACGGCCAAATGCTACAGCCGGGCGTACTTCAGGAGCACCATCTGCTAAAATCGACCAACAAGTCAGCTTCTCGAACGCGCTTAGAGGAGGAAATAATAATTCACAAAGCCATGCCCGCCAATCTGAGCACTCAGCAGCAGGATCTATGGAAGCCATGGTTACCCGATTGGGGTTGACGATGGAAAAAATGATGGAGAAAATATTCAGATGACGCAAATGCTAGCCCCTGTTGTGGTAAACTATGGAAGTAAAGCTGAAACTCACCATCTGGAACGCGAACGGCCTGTACAATAGCAGGCCAGAGGTCGAACACTTTGTGAAGACCATCAACACAGATATACTTCTAATATCAGAAAATCACTTCTCCCAGAGATCGTAGTTCTCCATTAATGGCTTCGATATTATTTAAGCCAATCAGCCAAACTGTAGAGCCCTAGGTGGAGCTGCAGTGGTCATCAAAAAGGAATAAAATATATTGAACTGCCAGTATATCAACAAGATTGGGTGCAGTGTGCACAGGTCAGGCTGCCTAGCCCGCTCGGCGGTATAACGTTAGACACAACGAGCTTAGTCATCTTTTGAAAAGCCTTGGCCCCAGGTTTATAATTGGAGGTGAATTCAATGCCAAACATTCCTGATGGGGCTCGCAAGCCAACAGCCCCAAATGCCAAGCTCTTTACCGATGCATTCATAAAAAAGGACTTAGCTGCCACTCATCTGGTGAACCCACTTACTGGCCCACGGATCTGCGCAAGATCCCTGACATACGAGGCATTGTTATCTCCAAAGGTATATAATAGATCCAGGAGACCCATCAAATAGCTTATTAAACGGCCTAATAGAAGGGCAGCTGTGGTCCGAAAAGCAAATGGGGACTGGTGCCGATCAGACCAAGAAAGAACAAATGCGTTTCATGACTCATTCACGCCGTTTGATCGCTGCTAATTGGCGGACAAAGCGGTCACTATCCGTTTCTTGGAGCTTTCAACTGTAGGTGACACATGGATCGCATCAGCATATTTCGTCGATATTCAGAATGAGGTTGCTCTACTCAAGTCAAAAAAGGAGCCTTGAAACGATGGCATCTACGCAAACGCGATAAAATTGCTTCCCAAAAATTGTATCCACTTGCTGACCAATGTTTTAAGATTGGACATGTCCCTTCCCATTGGAAACGAGCTGAGGTAATTTTAGTACCAAAGCCTGGTAAGGCTGAGGCCGATCTCTCCTCCTGTCGCCCCTTAAGCTTACTGGGTACTCCCTCTAAATTGCTCGAAAGAGGTTTTATACGTAGAATGCTGCCAGTATTGAACGAGGCTGGTTTGATCCCAGGCCAAAATTTCAGATTCAGGCGCCTCCACGGAACACTGGAACAGTGCCATAGGATAGTAGAGCGAATATTGCAGGCATTCGAAGAAAAGAAGTACTGCTGTGCGATTATGCTAGACGTAAAGCAAGCCTTTGGAAGGAAATAACACCCCGGTCTACTGCATAAACTTAAGGCAAACTTACCAGCATCCTACTTCGAATTTATTAAATGCTACATTTTCTGCAGATAGTTTTACATCAAGTGCGGTGATGCTATCTCGTCTATAAAGAACATCAGAGCCGGAGTCTCTCAAGGCTGAGTTCTGGGACCACTGTTATACATGGTGTACACAGCCGGCATGCCTGTCAGCCCGGATCAGAGCCTCTTGGTCGCGATGATATTGCTTTTTTTACAATTGCCAGCACACCGCTGTACACGTCCGCCATTATGCAGCGTCAATTAGACTCCCTGGACAGCCGGCTGAAAAGGTGGAACATCGCTGTCAACCAGGAAAAGTCCTCCCATAACACCGCAAAAGTAAGTTCTCCTAGATGGATTACAGAGTCAGTGAGCACAACGGTCAATTATCTAGGCATCATACTCGACAGAAGGTTGACTTGGCGTGAAAGCATTGTGCGCAAAAGAAAGCAGGCTGAAAACATATTACCAGCTGATCGACAGGCATTCCAAAGTGAACCTTCTCGTGAAGCTTTTAGTTTATAAATCAATTGTTGATCCAACATGGACTTACGACATCCATATCTGGGGTGCCTCCAGCAGGAAAAATCTGAGCACTATGCAGAGGTTTCAAAATAATATTCTGCGTATTTTATCTAACGCGCATATTTATCATAAAAAAAAGGTAATTCACAGCCAGCTAAATATTCCTTGGGTAAAAGAGGTTATTGCCAAGCTGAGTGATCGCTATATCGCCAGACTAGGCAACGACCTAAACAATCTTGGCACCATTCTATTAGACAACAGCTCAACAACAAGACGGCTCAAAAGGAAACACCCACATGACCTCCCCAAAAGACGAAAAGTTCGGGGCGAATTAACACATTTTGCAAAAATGTGACATTTTCATCCTCAAAGTTAGTTTCGTGCTTAATATTAATACAATTTATTTTCCCTATTGTGACCCTGCGTCACAGGCTCAGTAGACCCTTCATTTAGAATACAGTGTACAAATAATAGTACAGCAATACTTTTAGCAATATAAAAGTTATATATAAAACAAAAGAAAGGCACGTTTTTGGCTCCAATAAAATCTTCGTACACTTAAACTAATTACTTTAGAATTATTCGTAATAGGTAAATAACTTAAAACTAGTATTTGGTATGGTATCCTCTATTTTTTCTGACTGCCTTAGTGCCGAAGTTGCGGCTTGCTGATGCTGACACGAGCAACGAAAAATAGTCGCCAGCCTGCCTTCAACAAAGCTGGTCGATGCTTCTCTGCGTCGCTTCGTTTTCGAAGTACATTGAGCGAAAAAGTTTATAACTTACGAGCGACGCAAAGTGCTTGTGCTTTATCCATGCATGCTTTATTTAAATGATATATTACCATATATACTAACGATTAATGTTACAGGAAGTTTAAGAATTATATAATTTTTACACAATGCGCATCTTGTGCAATAACTACGATAAGAAAATAGCACACATAGATTGATTTCACTTTTGTTTTTGAACAGTGTATGCTCGAGAAAATAATAATAATATTAATATTATTTTTATTCTCCAATTAAGAAATAAAAGAGTGCTAAAAAATACAATTACATATTTATTTGCATAAATAAATATGACTTTTGATTCAATATTTAGTTAGATATTTTATTAATTAAATTTAGATTATTGCGTTTGGGATAGGAGGTAGGTCGTGATCTGCGCTAAAAAACTAAGAAAATTGTTTCTTTGCCAGAGCAGTGGATAACAACACATTCAAATATGCTGTTGTGTATGTACATTCACACGCATACAAACATAATTGCTTGCACGGCCCTCATAGAGCCGAAGCTGAGAGCACATTCTATTTTTAGCTTTTTTGTTCTCTTTTAAAAAAATCAAGCTGCATAGTAGCATTTTGTTGTATGGCGTTACTCATCTCAGTGTTTATATTGTCTTTGGTATTAACACTTAAACCACAATTCATTCCACATATGTAAATTATATATACATATATTCTCACATATCATAAACCGACTCGACCAAATTAAAATAATTCGTCTACGATTAGGCTTAACTAACACACTAACGATAATGAAAGAACAATATACCCCCACATGCTTACTATAATAGAATCCTGTCCCACCCTAAAAATTAATTGTTTACTTGTAGTAAGTACCTACTATTATCCAGCTGAAGGCAGTGGCAGCCATTGCTGATATTCACTTATCATTCAGTTTTTAATCAATGAACAGTTTATATAAATAAATAAATAAGAAGCGGCTGCGCGCTTGCGGCTATTACTTAAACTTATTTATTTTTTATATTTATTATTTAGGATAAAATTTTATTAATTTATTTGTCCTCTGCGTCGGCTTCGTCAAACTGTTTTCACGCTCGCCCTGTAAAAAATAAGTCATATGAAGCTGTTCATCATTGAATAATATATAATATTGTTTACGTTTAGTCCACATTTTGCATCGTTTCCTTCTAATAATCGGAGAATCTATTTCCAACTTGGTCAAGAAAAGTTCGACAATTAAATTTAAGTAAGCGATTTTGTATGGACTCTATAACTGTAAATTCTATTGATTCTTGCAGAACGAGAACAGATGTCCTTAAAATTATCTTGTTCATAAGCTACGACATGGGAGGGAATGCACGATTATCCAGTGTTTTGGTAAGTCTTAGGTATGAGGTCTTTCCTGATATGCGATAATATGGTGTGTGCTTTAGTTTTGCCAAAGGAATTAACAATTTGCCAGAGTTGACCAACTACTCTATTTATCGGAAATAGGGGTTTCAGGTATCGTACTACTCAGTTATCTTGTAGAGCGGGCTGCGATTTGTATATCACTGTGATTAAGAATATATATATGTATATTTTTGAAAAGACGGATTATTTGTACAATATTTTAATAAAAGTCGTCAGGCCTGACTTGAAACGTTGCGTAAGCGTACATTTATTTACTTCCTTTTCAAATAATTACACATTTCAAAATAAAAGCAGATCTCTTGCCCAATTAATTAGTTGTTCACAAAAATCATTGCTTTTTAGCTCCATCTATAATGGGCATAAGCCCGATTACTTTCGCATTGTCTATGCAAGTCGTCCTTTTTTTTAATTACTCGGCCCTGTCCATGCGCAGCGTCCAATATTTCCCAAGCAAGTTTATCAGGCAGATGAACTTTACGATCTTTTTCACGTGCTGCATCCAAGAGCCACTTCATAGCAAGAAAGTAGGATCTTTTCTCTGTCAAAGGTATGGGAACTTGATACTTTACTCCACCTCTTTTGATTTCTGACAACTGAAGTAATGGTCGAGAGTTTTCAATTGCATTTATTAAAATTCTCTCGGTGTCAATAATTACATTCTCTTTTTCGGCATTTATAAGGTTCATCCGTTCAATTTGTGTCCGCTTAATAGTTTCCAATGTATCAGTTAAAAGCTGTTTAGCTAAACTTCCATTACCTTTTTTAGTAATATATTTCAATAGTTTATTTTTAAGAACACCATAGAATATGGAATCGGATAAATCATTTGGAGCCGCTTTAATTGGTACATGAGAGACGTCCTTTTTGTTTATGATTTCAGAATCTTTTTTTAGTATAGGCTCAGCAAAATGTGGAGGGTACATCGACATTAAACGGCAACATTTTAAAGTCCTAATACACCAAAGAAGATGTTAATATGTGTGATTGTTAATTACAACTTCTAATATTACCTTAAACTACTTAGAGTAGTATATGGCACAAACCCCATTATTTCATTTATATAATGATAATTAGAACTACGACTTTCAGATATCACTTGGTGTGATTGATGAGCTAGTTCACATTAGTGAACTAAATCATGTTATTTAGTACATGCGTCAAGCTAGCATCGGTATCTTATTGTCGATTTTTCGAATTTCATTGCATAGCGGGAACCATTCAATTATAATTGAATTAATTTAAGTTTTTTGGCTAGAATTCGGTAAGCCAAGGAGTTAAGATATTACGTTAACAATATCATTTAAATGTTACAGCCCGCAGATAACTCCCCTTTAAACCACAAATACACGAATAACACCTAAATATTCACCACACTGTTCCCGAGAAACTTATCTGCATCGACCAATATGTATATCTGTATATTCTAACAAAAGTGCAAAAATAATGTAGTCGGCTGCGTACAAAAAGACTACTATATTAGCCTTCTTATTGATCCCAAATATCTTTTGTCAAGGATAACAGAACTCAATACAGGCAGTAGCAATTTGAAAATATATTTTTATATATAAGTCTTTGAAATAAATTTTTCATAAATACATTACATATACACCATAGCCTTATTTTGCCTAAAGAAGTTTGGAGATCCGTTGATAAATGACACGAAACCTATCAGCATGAACCGCATATAATTCATAAAAAAATCGTTCACTTTAAAAGCCACCAACAGTTTAAGTTTGTTAATTTATATATATTCATATAATTTTCTTTTAAAGTTAAAAAAAAAAGAAGAAAATCTAGTGGTTAACAGTGCAGCTAGTTGTGGCTTGCCTTCATTAAAAATAAAAGCTCATCGGCCAGGAGTAAATCAATCCATTCTTCTACCATTTATGGGCAGTGCCAAGGAAAGTACCGTCCAAAGTGGAACGTTCTGAAAAGCAGGTACTGTGCTAAAAATTGATAGAGCAAACTAAATTAGCTTTGGTTTCACTTGTTTATGAAGCCGACACTCTTAATTCTTGGCACATATGTAAAGTAGTTGTGCATAACTTGAATATACATTCATTATGTAACCGCTTTGGAGACTTTTATATATAATCTTTAATATTTGTGTTATCTGTAGTGCTTCTGCGCGAAAATACAAAAAAGACTTTTTGTGCGGCTTCTATATTCCGCACACAATGTGTGCAAAACGGATCCGTCTCATACCTAAACCTAGAGATAGATGTTGGTTTGTCTGTACTTCCTACTTACCCATGTCCGTAGGTCCAGGACTATGCGTTTAGCCCAGCTACCATTGGGGGAAGACGCCCATCGTGCTTGACATTTTTCTAGCGTTGCTTCCCGACTGCGTGCTGCGGTGCGGTCTTCTGTTGAAAGTAGATCCATCGGGGGCATTCCAGCCATCATTAGAGCTGCGTCGTCTGAAACGGTCCGAAAGGCGCAGAGTTTGAAGCCGTGCATTTGGCTGTAGAAAGGGATCCTCATTGCTGGTCCCCAGATCGATGACGTGAAGAGGAGCATCGACTGGACCACGTTACAGATGAGCCGTCTGCTGTTCACCATTATGCCGGATAGTGCATTTGTAGCTCTACTCGCCTTTTCTCCGGCGTATATATGATGATATTTCAAAATGAGTCTGTGATCCAGCAAGAAGCCTAGATATTTTATAGGAGGCTTGGAAATTACTTCGGTGCCGTCCACTGTCATTTTGGCGGTTTCCCCAACCAAGGGCTGCTTCATTGGTTTTCCTTCCCAGAAAGTCTTCTCTTTCGCCACCGTGACAATAGTTATTTCATCTGCGAAGCCTACGATGCTGCAGCCAGATTGTAGGGCAAGTCGGAGCACTCCGTCATACATTAAGTTCCAAAGCTAGGGCTCAAGCACCGATCCTTGCGGAACGCTCCCAGTAACGGCGTCCTTGCGTCGTCCTGCAGTCTTGTCGTACATGAGTACCCGGTCTTTAAAGTATCCGGCAACAAGACTGTTGAGGTACTCGGAGATCTGCAGCCTGCAGAGTGCCAGGATTATATTTGGCCAGCTTTCCGTGTTAAACGCGTTGTTTATGTCTAGAGTTGTCACAAGGCAGTACTTTTAAGACCCGCCGCGCCATCGCGTGCCTTCTATGGCCTTCCGTGCCGTGCCCGTTACCAATTTGATAGTGTCGACAGCGCTCCTCTGTTTACGGAAGCCGAGCTGCTGGTCAGAGAGTCCGTGGAGATCAGCGATCTTATTCGATAGTCGATCGCAGATGATGCACTCGAAGAGCTTACCCGTGGCGTCTAGCATGCAGAGTCGCCTGTATGCTGAGATGTCCTGCGGGTCGTTTCCGGCTTTAGGGATAAGGACCAGTCCCTGCAACTTCCAGCTCGTCGAAAAGGTTCTCACTGTAATGCATGTTTGTGTCGATGGGAGGCACCACCGACGTGTCTACAGCTGGCAAATGGTGGCGTAGCTCGGTCTGGTGCGGGAACAGTTCTGGGCAGGTCTGTAAGGGGCTTCCTGCGAGTTTGCCCATTACCATTTTGTAGGTTTGGACGAAGGGTTGAGTGTCGGCTTCATCGCAGGGTTGTATCCAGCATTTTTGCTTGTTTCGCTTGATAGCCTTGGTGAGCTTAGCTCGCCAGGAGTGGTAGGCTGTGCGAGCTTCTTCGTGCTCCAAGGCCTGGTTTGCTGTTGCCCGTCTCGCTGGTACAGCAAACAAACAGTCATTTTGTACCAGCAATAATCAATGTAGCCAACGGCAGATTTGACCACCGCATCCGATGCATTTTCACTTACAAATATCACTGATGAAACGATTATTATTATTTTTCTTTTTATATCCTGAACCCATTAAAAATGGGTATAAGGGTATATTGTTTTTGTGCAAAATCCAAATGTATGTAACTGGCAGAAGTAAGCATCTCCGACCCCATAAAGTATACATATTCTGGATCAGCATCAATAGCCGAGTCGATCTAGCCATGTCCGTCTGTCAGTCCGTCCGTCCGTATGTATGAACGCAAGGATCTCAGAACCTATAAGAGCTAGAGACTTGAAATTTTAGATGTAGGTGCTCCTAGTGCCTGCGCAGATCGAGTTTGTTTCCGATAATCGATAACTTACTCCGTTTCCAAGCAATCGACAAAATCTATTTCGATATCCTGTTTTTTGGGCAATTTTGGTAAATAATAAGAGCTAGAGTCACCAAACTTGAGATATAGCTTCTAAAATAGAATACATATACATATATATATATAATATACAGCTCTTATTATTTAGCTCTTATTATATAGCTCTTATTATTTACCAAAATTGCCCAAAAAACAGGATATCGATTTTTATCGATTGCTTGGAAACGGAGGAAGTTATCGATTATCGGAAACAAACTCGATCTGCGCGGTTCAGGGTATCCCCTAGTTGGGAGCTCCCGACTAGAACCTCTTACTTGTTTTACTTCCGCCTGGCTTTGCTTTGTTAGCCTTACAATATTACTTTCTCTAATTCTATACCTGCTCCTCTTATTTCCCATTCCTCCGTCCGTTCTGCTATAAACTCATTAAAACTTCTTAGTCTCCTGGTTTTGACAATATTTCAAGTTGTCTGCTCAATGAGTGTAGTGATATCTTTCTTTGTCTATTGTCGGGAGCTTCTGACTAGGGAATACCCTGAACCCTCTTGTTCCAACACCAAATGAAGCACGCGCTATTCGCTCGTTTGTAGTTATAAAGATAAATTAAAAAAAAAAGTTCCTTTGGCAGGGTTCGAACTCGCAACTAACTGCACTATTTGCCGCCATCTCTACTCAACAGCCACACCAGCCATAAAAAAATAGCTTCCACAGTAGGACTCGACCTCGCGACATACCACGCTACTTGCCACCGCCTCTACTCAGCAGCCACACCTCTGATTGAGTCCTATTTAGAAAAAGAAAATTAAAATAGCAGCACAGAAAACAATTCAATCGCATTCGAAACAGACGCGCATGAATGTGTGTGTGTACATGTATACAGAAATTCTTGGATTTTGCGTCGCAAACACGCGCGCAGTCAAAATACCGAAAACCAAAATAAAAACCGATCTTAGTAAAATTTTCTACAGTATATTTTTTTGTACCATAGAATATTTGTGTATCGTCAAAAAGATAATTGCACTAAAATTGTAGGTTAAATTGGTGGGCAATCCAAGTTGGGTTGTTAACTTGATTTATAGCTATGAGGCAGTAGCGGGGAGGTGTCGCTAGATACAAAATGAAATATACTTGATATATATATATACCATTCTTGAGTAAACATATATATCACTTTTGGTGACTTATTATTTACCCAATTTTTATCGATTGCTTGGAAACAGAGTAAGTTATCGTTTATCGGAAACAAACTCGATCTGCGTATATACTAGGAGGACCTACAGCTAAAATTTCAAGTCTAGCTCTTATAGTTTCTAAGAACCTTGCGTTCATACATTCGGACAGACAGACGGGCAGGGCTAGATCGACTCGGCTGTTGATGCTGATTAAGAGTATATGTATATACCTTATGTGGTCTGCCTGTTACTTAGATTTGCACAAATACATACTACCCTTTTTACTAATTTTTAATGGGTTCAGGGTATAAAAATAATCACTTCGAATTTGCAGCAGTTGTCTTCCCGTGTTCAACATGGATTCGTAAAGAATCGGTCAATTACCGCCAATCTGCTAGAATTAAACTCTATGGTATATAATGCTTATCTCCTAAAATCCTAACTGATGTCATTTACACTGACTTCAGTAAAGCGTTTGACACTGTACACCACGAAACTTAAACTTGACTTGCTTTGGATTAGTTCTTGTTTAAAAGGAATGACCCAAAAAGTAATGTTCAGGCTGACTACATCAAAACAGGCTCACGGTTTTTCTGGTGTTCCTCAGGGTAGTCATCTTGAACATTTACTCCTTATTTTTTTAATATACTATCTCCTCTTGGTTATATCACATGCCTGTGTACTTATGTATGAAGAAGAGATGGAGGGAATTGAGTTAGGAATAGGAAAACGATTAGGAAAAACTTCGAAGATGGAGTTCAGTGTGTTATGAAAAATTAAGTAAGCCGAGTCATATAAAAAAGTCCAATCGGTTTAAAGCA